TCATTCAACTTTCACAAAGTGCAAGTTTGTTTTCTGTGGTGATTATCATGAAGAAGGAGGGTATGCCAAGGCTCCTTGTTGGCTTTAATGGGTGAATGCAGTTACTCACAATAATGCCATTTCACTTCCACAAACACATGCATTGTAAGTTCTCAATTATTCAACACTTTAGATCTGACATGTGGGTACTGGCTAGTCAAACTGGATTATGAGTGTAGACCTAAGACAGCTTTCAGCTCTTTGAATGGTTTTTACAAGTTTTGTAACATATCTTTTATTCTGTATAACTTCTCTGCTACTTTCCAGAGGCTAATAGAATTTATTCTGAAGGGTCTTCAGTGGGAGAAATGCCTGGTCTATGTTGATGATGATGATGTCTTGATCTTTTGTCACATGCTCTAGTTTGCTGCTGAAAACTTGACTATGGTTCTTAAGCAGATAAGAAAGGTTAACTTGATGTTGAAACCAAGCTCATGCACTTGCAGGTGTGGTTTCTCAGTCATACTGTGGGTAGAGATGAACTTTACTGATCCTACAAAGATTACAAAAGAGTGATACAAAGAGAAATTCAGTTTCTTTGTTGTTGTATTACCAACTTCTCGAAGATTGCCACACCATTATCTGCTCTTAGTAAAGCTAACTTGCACCATACATGGACCAAGGAATATGAAGAAGCATTCCTATCACTAAAGTATGCTGTAGTTGAAGCTCCAATGTTGGCATATCCATTATGAGATTGTAAGTTCTTGTTGGATACTGATGCCAATGATCGTGGAATTGTGGCTGTGTTTTCCCAGTTACAGGATGTGATGGAATGTGTAATCCTGTATGTTCATGGAATGTGTAATCCTGTATGTTCATGGAATGTGTAATCCTGTATGTTCATGGCTCCTGAATGCAGATATTGCACAATGAATAAAGGACTGCTTGAAATTGTGGTCTTTGTTCAACACTGTGAACACAACCTGTATGAAAGAAAGTTCCATGATTTTGTGTATAACGCAACTCTGAAGTGGCTTATGAACTTTAATCTGGAAGGTGTGATGGCATGTTTGATTAAAATGCATCATCCAGGCCCATAATATGGAAACACCTGTCTGTTCATTGAATTTTCTGATACTAGACACTCTGTGGGAGTTAGTCATTTCTGACATAGCAATATCACTCCATATGGTAGGAGATTCCATTAGTGGTTGGATACCTCAATAATGCCCCAAGAGCTTTGGGAAGAGCAACTGAAGGACTCAGATCTTGTGTGAGCTTTTTTTTCCATGCAGCAATGTGAAATATCACTAGCACAGATTGAGGAATGTAAAGAGTATGCTTTAAAGCTGTGGCACTTGTAAAAGTTTTAAAAAGTGTGCTGTACTGTTGTTATCAACCACCAAGATATGGTTCTCAACATGTGGTGCAACTAGTGGTTCGTAGAACTCTTGGCCCTCAAATTCTTCAGACTTGTGTAATGCATACTTCAAGACATTCACACAGACCAGAGAACTAATTGCAATAACCATAGATGTATATTGTTGGATATGATGAAAACACACACTTCATGTTATCCCCACCAGTCTGATTGTTTTATCAAGCAGATGCTTGTGAATTTTTTTAATTCTGACAGAACCAACTGGGATGAACATTTGCCATAGACCATGATGATGTATCCTGGAACAGAACACAGATTAACTGGTTGATTACCAACCATGCTCATGTTTGGTTGAGAAATACTGCTCCCTTTGGATGTGATGTATGTCCTCAATAATGTGTTCATTGGTTAAGGTCTTTCTTGTTTGATACGTACGAGTTAATTATTATCAGAAATGCAGATTGCAGTATTTTGTAAGCAAATGGTTGTATTGAAAATTTTCTTAATATTCTTTGAGTACAAAGTGCAATTAAAATACATGAATATAAAGACTTTGAGTGTACAAACTGAGGCAGAAAGTAACATCCAGCCTGTACTAAAGTTTTATCCAAAATAATTTTAATAGGAATGAGATGTCAATGTTAATGGATTCTCATGGTCAGAAGATAGAGGCTGGCACTCGTATGGTTGCTAGTCTGTTTTGATTGTTTGTGTGGGAACCAATGTTTGCAGTCTTTGTTTTAGTAATGATCAGGCAGTGGGCAAGGAAATGTTGCAAGGTTACAGGGTATCTATGTTAGCTGTTGTCATGGAAATGCCAGTATCGGGCAGCAAAGCTGAATGTTGGTCAACACAAAACCCAATGAAGCCTGGAAAAGTGGGTCATCTACAGGTGTAAGGGATGCTTTGACTAAAGGCATCATACATGAGTTAACTCAAGCCTGTAGTAATGTTACTTGACCAAGGTAATAGCTACAGTTGTGGCTGGTTTGTTGCAGCATGTAGACTTTTAGCTGAACTTCTGATCAATCAGAATCCTGTTGACTAGACATCTTTCAGTCCATTTTTTTTATATATGATCAGATTCTTTGCTCTTTTGGCTAGCTCGTCTTTGACGAGATTTGCCAAAAATTTTGTACAATCGTTTTATTGTCTGCTTACTCATACTCTCACATGAAAGGTTATATCTTGTTCAAGGACTCAAGCAACTATGATGGTAAAGTCAGGGTTAATCCTGGCTGAAGATAAATCAATTGAAAGGTATCTTCCTGCTGGTAGAGATTTTTATCATGGCAAACTTTCTCAGAGCCTACCAAAGGCTTTCCCTGCAGTTCAAGGACTGTGACATCTAAATGATGATTTTACCATGGTCTCAATGCCGTAGTGATGGAATGCCTTTGAAGTCCAACCTGCAAGTTACGCAGTTGGTGCAGGTTGTTTTCTTTTTGGTTTTTGTTGTTGTTCTTAGTCATTTTGTTATAAAATAAAACAACAAATATTTATTTATATATGTTGGTATTTCATATTTTTATGAAAAAGAAGTAAAAGCATTTAATGAAGACCCAGGATTGACTCCTGGCCACCAACAAAATCACTCCATCTCAGAATTTTCCAGAATATGTTAGCAGATTAGCAACTAAAATGTAGGATACAGGCTAATAAGTATTTAGTTATAATAAGTAACACACACACACACACACACACACACATATATATATATATACATACATATACACACACACACATACACAGTTATCCCTTGTCATTCACATGAGATAGGTTCTAGAAATTACTGCGAATGCTAAAACCATGAATACCCTTAGCAATATAGGTAGCAGCAACAAAGGAAGCAGGCAGAGAACTTGGAGAGGTTACAGGGTAGAGTCTGCACATAAACACCATGATTGAACAAAGACTGAGAATATGTAGGATGTTGTGGTGCATGGTTTGAGAGTGTGGGATACACAGTGCAGCACAATGAAAGCCTCACACTAGTTTTGGGTGTGGCTGTGGCTGTACCACAAATGACAAGGGATAACTGTACACATAAGTTAGCTACTAATTAATAATAATATGACTTAGGTGAATATATAAGCTACTGACAATGATAACTAAGCTTGTTATAGAATAAAGTATATATGTATACATTGTAAACCCTTAGTTAAAGCATGTACAGATGCAGCTTTAAGTTTGCAGTCACATGTACCAGGCTTTACATTAACGTAAGTTTAACGTACAGAGCAAAAAGTTTATATTTTTATATTCACTGGAAGATGATTAGGAGGGAGGGGGTAATGACTTTATCTAATGTAATAAATCTAAATATGCAAGTGCATTGATGCAAGAGTCAGCCACAATATATAATATTGCAGTATAAAACTGAGAGAGTAGCTAGAAAACCGACAGGTACGGCATTCTTTAATTTAATGTACCCAATTCAAGCCAAAATATGAGATTTTCTTGCTTTCAGCACAATCAGATGTATATACCATTTGGTTGTCATTGAACATGCTCTGGGAGGGGAGATGTGGCTAATGAATATACATAATGATATACAGATTTATGAAGGGTTCATGGGAAGGTACATAAAAATTTTCGGTTTTGCCATTTACGGGTGTTTATGCATTTTTTATCACTACTTCAACCCCTGTAGATGGATCTTCACCACATTTGGTATGGAGTTTCATTGGGTCCATGGGGAGATGTATACAAATTTTCAGTTTTGCATTTTGTGTTTTTTTATGGGTGTTTTTGCATTTTTTTTTATTGTCTATTTCTCCCCCTGTTGATGGATCTTCACCATGAAGGTTTGTTGGGCCCATGTGGAGATACTTGCAAATTTGCATTTTCACATTTTGTATTTTGCAGTTTTTATGGACGTTTTTTACAGTTGCATATAAGGGAAGCAACTTTTCATGTCCAAGATAACTTTTTATTAATCATGAATTTACATAACTTCTGTCTAGGGGACTGCCAGCTAGTTAAGTAATTAGTTAAAGTATAGTTTGGTTTAATGTTTATTGAAAGTTTCCACAGTTTCCCCACTGATGTGGATTTCATGGTATACATTGAACAGATTTGGGTATGATTTGATATTTTTGTGACTCTTGTGAACCTTTATGCAAATATATCCTAGTTAAAAACAGATAAATGTATAAAGTTAGGCACCTGGGGTATGAAAACAAAAGTGTGATAGGAACATTGGTGATAAACACACACAAGAAAGAGGGATTTAGGTTTGTTGCTGAAAGTTAAAATTCTTAAGCAGTATGTTTAACTGTTAAAGTTTGGATTTTGGAGTATCAAGCTATGTTGCAGCCTTGTGAAAACCTTAATTAAAATACTGTTTTAAATATTGATCAGTTCACTACAGGAAATATATCAACATGTAAGAAAGAATACGAAACAGGTTTAATACAATAAGAGTACCTGGTTTAAGGCATTTAAACTGAGGAAAGAAGTTTAACCAATAAAACTTTTTTTTCTGAAAACAATTGTTTTTGTATTTACCTTTACAGTAAAATACTAGCACAGAATTTTGGAAGTTAAGACTAGCAAATGTCAATATACCTACATTATAAGATGAAAAATTAAAGTATTTTAAGATATTTTTCCTTACATCTTTTTTAAATTTCAGAAGTGTTAAGCTGTTGTTAGAACACATGGACATTGGTCAGGTGATCAAACTGTGTCAGCGTCAGGATGTTGGTGTTTTACAACAAGCAGAAGAAGAGGCCACCACAGATTATGTTGTCAGTCCTCTACATCTTGCCATAGAGTGGCAAAGGTAGATAATTTGTTATGGACAAAATTGTTGTGTTCAAAGATGTCTACAATTTTTATTTTTCAAATATATTTGATTATTTTTTTATGGACTGCATTTAATACATCATTTTGATATTTTTGTAGTGTTTTTTTTATGGTTCTAAGTATGCCAATAGATAAATGGTGTTCTAATCAAGTTAAACTTTAGAAATTGGATCACCTAAAAGTTCAGCTTCTTCTTTTTCAAATTTCTTGCATATGAAGCTTTTATATTATTCTATGAGACAAAAGTATTGGAAAGGAGGAAGGAAAAATTTATTTTTTATGAATATTTTTCCAGCCATTTTCTCAAATAAGTTGTACATGTATTCACATATTGTAACATCTTCAGTTATAGAAGATTTATGGTCTACAATAATAACTGTATTATGAATCAGGTTTCTTGAAATTTTCTTCTTTGTGCTTGGTAGGAGGAAATACTGTCAACATACTACTGTAAAAAAATTGTTTGTATATGAGAACTTTTCTTTTTCTTCTTATGTGACGGAACTTCTTTCCAGGTTTATGTTTATGTTATAAAATGCCTGAATGTCGCTAAAGTTGAAGCCAGTTTATTATTTCATGGAAAACTTACTCGTACAACAAAATGCTAATTCAGTCAGTTGTATGATATTGTAGAGGTACAAAAACAAAATGTCATTTTATATGAATGTGGGTTTGTTTGTAGTTTAAGCACAAAGCTACACAATGGGCTATCTGTGTTGTGTACACCATGAGTATCGAAACCCAGTTTCTAGTGTTGTAAATCTGCAGACATACTGCTGTGCCACTGGTGGGCATTATATGAATGTGTATGAGATTTAATTCTCTACAGAATGTAACAAAACACTTTACTTTAAAGAAACACCTAGTTGCATATAAAGCTAGTGTAGATTTAATGTCATTATTCATTAACTAGCTTGTTTATTGCTCATATAAGGTAACTATTATTAAATATATTGTATGCACTTGACATTTTTATATATATTTTTTTGTTTTATACATTTATAAATGCTGAAAGTTCTATCACAGAGAAAAATACATTTTATTTTATTGCTATATAATATTTTATGACCTCGCTACTATGCATTCAGTTATTGTTAATGTACAGTATATGATTTGTTCTTTCACTAGTTATGGGTGTCTAGAGCTTCTCCTCACATCTGGATTTCCTGCAGATGGACTCTTGGAGAGATCAGACCTTACTCTTGAGACATTACATGGAGGATTGTTTCTGTATGAAACAGCCCTTACTTTTGCAGCATCTAAAGGTGATGTTGAAGGAATGAATATATTACTGGAAGCAGGGGCAAGCTGTGAGGCTACATTGGAAAATATCCTTCCACCATTAGTACCAGGTGAGGGAATACTGTTTCTCAGTATTTTTTTTTAGTACTTGAAGATATTGTTATGTAGTCACAGTGTTGTTTGATACCTAGTTTTCTGTGTGCAAGAAAATACTGGCTGAAGCTGTTCAATATAGCCACAAGGCTGTTTGATTCTCAGCCAGTATCTCATTACACATGAAAAACCAGGTATATAGAATCAAACAGCCTTGTGGCTATATTGAACAGCTTCAGCCAGTATTTTTTTACACATAAAAAAACCAGGTATACTTGGTCCAACTTTTAATGCTTGAAGTTGTTTGATATAGCTACAAAGCTGTTTGTTTCTTTACACCTAATTTTTTGTGTAAGAAAGTACTGGTGGTTGGTGCAACATTTAGTGCTTGCATCTGTTCAGTATAGGCACAAGGTTGTTTTTTCTGAATACCTGGTTTTGCAAGTGTAAAATAGTGCTGTAATGTCTTCTGTTATTGGTTAGATTTTTTTGGATTATTTGATTAAAATATTACCAAGTTCAGTCTACTTGATGATAATGAAATAATTTACTTCTTCAATAACATTTGTTATAGCAAAAGCCATGTTTGATTTGAGGCCAAATTTCATAAATAGACTTTGCAACAGAGACTTCATGACTAAATTTGAGCTTCATTTCAAATACAATGTTTAAAGTAAACTGAGGTGTATGCCTAACTTAATTAGCTTTGATAAAAATGTAACTTACTGAGTAACTGAATAGCAGAATAATTGTAATAACTCTCATTACAAACACTGAACTGAACACTAAATACTTCATTGAATTTTCATTGATCTTCACACACTGGTTATACGTATTTATAATGTACTCTTGTTTCTTCTAATTCTATGAAATCTCTAGACCATAATTTTTTTAGGTATTCTAGGAATACTTTTATGAACTTTCTATACCTAGCTTCATCATTTTGATCATCAACTCTTACAAGATGAGAAACTACAAGCATTTTTCTAACACATTAAAATAGTTCAAAGAACTACAAAGTGACTGTGTTAAGATCAAATAGCCTTTAGTGTGTGGATAATTTGTTTAATGTCAATTATCTAGAAAAGTTAACATACATTTATTGGTTGCATACGATAATAACTGAATTACACATAATGTCATGGTCTGAAAGTGTTGAAATGCTAGCACACCAGCAGTTAACTTTATTTTCAAAACAATTTTAGACCTATTGGTTTCTAACAGTTCACCAGCCTTCAGCATTAAATCTGTATAGGGCTAGTTAAAAAATTGTCATTGGTCATATTGTGATGTAATGTCACAAATAACTGATTTATGATCACCTTCTTACCTGCCTCCCAGTGGTTCACCCATAAATCTGAAGGTTTATAATGCTAAAAACTGGATATCGATAACCATGGTGGGCACAGCACAAATAACCTATCGTGTAGCTTTCGCTTAACAACAAATCAGACAGACTGACAAACTTCTTACTTTTATCAGTTACATATCCAAATCATATTTACTAACTATTTTCCAACTACAAGATTAACTTCTGTCATAGTAGGTTTGTTTCTTTTAATTAATTTCAATACAATTTCAATATTGCTGCTACGTTTAACATATGACCATTTCAAGTAATGACACACACACTGGTTTCAGGTAGTTCTATTTTTCTATTACATAGTGTTGAGGACACCTATTATGACTATGATTTCAATACATTTTGACTGAAAATCTTTTGAAAAAAAGTGAAAAAACAACAACTTGACCTTGAAGATTTCTCCCATAACAGAATTATGTCTGTAGACAGAAAGCTAACATCCATGCGTTTAACATAATTTCTCTATTAGAAGTAATCACACACAAAGTTAAAGAATTAACTTAAATTATCCCAAGTTTAGAAATAGCTATCAAAAACATTAACATATTCTTATTATATTTAGCAAAATGATGGAAGAAGTTTTAGCAGTTTCTTGCTAATGCTACCATATTTCAAACATTTTCACACAGTATACACCATACAATGGAACTCTAGCCAACTTTGAGCAAGTATGAAAATGACTGCCCAATGTTATGTTACTTTGTTTAACCATTTACATCTCCATTTATTCTTTTCATTTTGGATCTTCTTCACCTTAAAACCTTTTTCTAGCTGTTGCATTTTATTGAGAACGTTTTAATATTCATATAATGTTTTAAGAAAAAATTATCCATTCATAATAAATCCATAGCCATAGATCACTAGCACCACTTTCCTGAACACAGTGAACTTTAGTTATTTTCCAGTACTAAATGGCTCACAATTTTACATTTTATGTAAACTTCAGCAATTCCTAATGTAAAACTAATGTTATAAACAACTGCTAAAATATATTTTTTTAACATATCTAAGAATAGAGTTCCATGCATACTCGACTTGAATGGTATTAAAGCAAATGTTTACTTAAATTACATTTAATAATATAATAGGCATTTCTATTTTCAAATGTAATTGTTTTACTTATAGCCACTACCAGTGTAACCAACTGAATGTGAAATTAAAGATTTTAGTTAAATATTGTGTAATTCTATTTTTTAGTATTTCTCTGGCATTGTCAGAAACTTGATTTTTTCTTTAAAAATGTGTCTAAGATATGTCTGTATAGGTAGTTTTGTCATTTCAAAATGATAGTTATCTCCTGCATACAGTAGCTATTCTTGTGTATCTGCCTTTGAGATTTTGTGTATGCTTCTGACTTTGAGCTATCTCCCATATAGGGCATATTATAATGTGAACTGTGCTAGTATATGATGTTATCATTTTGTGAAAAATAGCCTTCCATCAGTAGAAGGGCACAACATATTCTCCATGTACAGTAGATCCCCATAAGCACTTGCACTCAAAATCAACTTCATTTTTATCTTAGACTGATGTACTGTCATTGACGTTTTCCCTCTCAACCACTATCCGTTGTTTCTTCAGTTCAGTATGGAGGGCTTTCTTCCTCTCTGTTGATCCTTTTCCCCCAGACTTTGGATGACTTCTATCAATGTTGCTAATACCTTTTTACATATTCTGATTGATCTGTCCTCCTGTCATTTATTGTGTTTCATTTACTGGAATGAGGTGTAGCAGTTGTAAGCTCTCCCTTCAGTACCACTGAGGCTATTTATGTCTTCAATTGAGTCATGGTATCATTTGTTCCCCATGTTCACAGTCTAGAGCTTCATTTTCATTATTACATGGATGACTGGCTCCTCCTTACCTCTTCTTGGGAAGTCCTCTATTTTTTTGTTCCCATCACTTCTCATCAAAGAGGTGGGTCATCTAAGTTGGCTGGTCAAGTTTTCCAAGTCATTCCTAAATCCAACTCAATAATTGGTCCAACTTGGAGTTTTTCAGTTCTTGACTCAATTGAGCTTAGTCTTCCCCAATTTGTCTGTGGGACATGAATCATCTAGTCACATTGACTCTTGTAAAAGATTCTATTTCTTTTGGGGACTCATGTTTTAAGAACATATTGCCCCTCTAGGACAGATTCACATGAGGCTTCCTAATTGAACTTTGAGCAGCCAATGGAAAATCTCTCACGATCCTCTTTCCTCCCTTGTGACACTGCCACCTTATTTTCATGAGGATCTGTCATGGTGGCTAGACTGTACTAATACTAATGTCAGCATCCCACTGCCCCAAACCTGTCCCCCCCCCACACACACACACACATCTAGATTTGTTCTCCTGTGGAACATATACATCAATTTTCATTTTCTCAAACTCTTGATCTCCTATTGGGTGTGTTTCTATTACCTACCAGTTCTTGTAGATCACTTGGTTATGATCCATTCTGACAATCTCACTGTTGTTTCCCATATGAATTGTCAGGGAGGGACTCAATTCAGAGACCTTTGCTTTCACACACTGGACTTACCAAACATCCCCTTTTCTAGTCCCCAGTACCTTAGCCAGCAGTTTTGGCAGTGAATACCTTCAGCCTGGATTGGTCACATCTCTTTCTATATGTGTATTCTCCACTTTTCCATCTCATGCATGTCTCCTTGTTGGGTTCTGTTGGTAGCTACCTTTTTTTATTTTTTTTTGTTTTTGGTGGGCTCGGTCTTAGTTTCCTCTTCACTGACTAGCATCCAGGGCACCTCTTCCTCTGCTTCTATTTTGGTCATTCTTACTCCAACTTCATACACCTCTCTTTCACTTGAGAGTATCATTCCTTCATCTTCTTGCATGGTGTTTGTCTGGTCCCTTGTTCGCTTTTCAACTTTTTCTTTTATTTCATTTGTGTTGCCTTTCTACTCTCTCTGTCTATCAAGAAAAGTGGAATGTTCTTCACTGCTCACTACAACCATGCCATTCTACTGTTGCTCATCTTTCAGCCTTCTTTACCTTGTTCAACCTGAGGGTTGCCAGTCTCACCATCATAGGCTATTAGGCAGCCTTTTTTTTTAAACTCGGTGCCTACTGAACTGCCTCTTTTATTTCTTTACCTGTTTATTCTTTTCTCTGAATATATCTCGTGGTATATTTTGCCTCACAGGTTATATTTACTTCCCTAATCTTACAGTGTGTTAGATGTAACGGAAAGCATTAGATCCATCTGCTCTCATTCCTAAAGTACCCATATAATTTATCCATTCCAGACTGTACCCTCCAGGGACTATTATGGAAAAAGCCAGCATTGGGGGAGTGTTGTCTTCTCTTCCTTGGCTTGCACATGCCAACTTTTCATATTAGGTTTCATAGTAACCCATTGCACTTTTGTCTGTAAAAAGTAAAAGACCTTTTGCAGTGGTTAGATCTGATCTAGTCTGAGCATCTGTCTGGTGTCTCTCCAACACAAATTCCTCCCTCATCTTGGCCTTTAAGGATCTACCAAGCATGGTAGATCCTTGCCACTCCCAGTTTCTCGCTACTAGGGTGGTTTACTTGGAGGATTCTTCACCAGTTGTGTGATTCTTCTAGAAAGAGTCCTAGTGGGCAGTACAGTGCAGTGGGAGGTAGGGCAAAAGTGTCCATGTCGGTGTAGTACAGGTCACCCCCTATTACGCAATATTAAATTTCTTGGTGGTTTGGCCAGCTGGATGGGGAAAAGTTTTATCCTCACACCACAGGAAGGCATTTAATCCCCATTCCTCTATGTGAGGTTAGTAAAGTGTACAGTAGAACACATACTAAACTGTAATGTCTGATCATTATCCTAGTCACATTACATCTCATATCTGACTGATGTGCTTTGTGCAAATGCTTGGTTACTCTTTTTTTCCACTCATGTGTGACACATTGGCTCATTTTACCTTCATTATTCCATTTTTCCAACCAGGCAAAGAGTATATCCTGCACAAGATCAGTGCAGTCTCTCACGAGTTTTACACCTTTAGCAAGCCCCACTATAGGGTGTCACACTCCATGAGCTTTCCCCATCAGTTGCCTTCTCTGAATGGAGCTTATCTAGGTTTTGCAATTGCACCAGCCCCTCCACCACATGAGTGTGGGATTCTACCTACTGTATGCAGAAAGGTAGGTATATTGTTTTGAATGGTAACGTCAATGGTGTAGCAAGAGGGGGGGCAGTTGCCCCCGGGTGCAGGTGTGAAGGGGCACAAAATTTGCTCTGGCGTATAATGCCTATTAATTAATAATTATGCCCTTCCCTAGGATACAGCATAACTGCCCTACGTTAAGTAAATACGACAATGTTACATTATTTGTGTGTATTATGCTTGCAGTTTTAACTTTTAGAAGCTGCCCACTGAAATAC